AGGCTCTGCTCCCACCAGTGAGAAAATACTATAGGTTTGTTTATTTGTTAATTCTGTCCCTTACAGATGAAGTGGTGCATCATGGCATCGCCTCATCTTGCCCACAGTGGTAGACGCAGACAAGACTTTGACCGCTGTAATTAAGTGCGAGTTTGTCCCTGGTGGATGACCTCGCAGTGGTCACAGCGCCATCTGTTGCGTTCATGTCTAACTTTCGTCTGGGGTATTGTTTATCCTCGCCTTTCATTACTATCAAAAGTTTGCAATGAAAGGCATGCAGACAGAGGGATCGAGGGGAGGGGGGGTGTTCTCAGAGGGAAGGGCTGGAGGAGGTGACCTACATTGGCCTGAATGATGCGAGCCAGAGCCGAACAAATGTCTGCCTCTCTTTCTCTTGCTCACATGATAGTTGAACAGGAGGAGGGAGCCGCTAGACCATGCTGTCTCCATCTACACCATGTTGATTGATTGCATTCTGTGTCTCCTTTTTCTCCCCTTTCTTTCCCTCTGTCTGTTCTGCTTCCCCTCTCTCCGTTTCCCTCCCCACATACCCATCATCTCTCCTGCAGCATACTGTTTGCGGACATTGAGGGCTTCACCAGCCTGGCATCTCAGTGCACGGCCCAGGAGCTGGTCATGACGCTGAACGAGCTGTTTGCCCGCTTTGACAAGCTGGCTTCGGTGAGCTTTGCTGCTGGCTGCCACTGCTGCCATAGCGAACCTTTGAACCACCGGTTCATACGCATCTTTACAGTCTGTAGTCTCAGTCCTAGTTAGTATGACGAATAGAAAATGATGCATTTACTGATACTTAAGCATTGTGTAACCTGCTAATTGAACTTTGCTGAGGCTTATAAATCATTCACATCATGCGTTTATAATCTATTTGACATGCTGTGAATCAGCTGTAGGTGAAGGTCTAACGTTTTATGCGTTGTGTCTTTGTTTACAGGAGAACCACTGTCTGCGTATTAAAATCCTTGGCGACTGTTACTACTGTGTGTCAGGACTGCCTGAGCCCCGTGCTGACCACGCCCACTGCTGTGTAGAGATGGGAGTAGACATGATTGAAGCGATCTCGTGAGTAAAATGCACACTTAAAACAGCCGCAGTTATATTTCACTGAAAGTTGAAGAGGATTTATTATGCTCGGTTTTCCATTTTTTGTTCTTTTACTCAACTATAGTAATTAGCATGATTCACAATATTCCCTTTTTATCTTAGACTGAGGTACCTAGCCCTAGAGCTTTTGCTCCACTTCCTTTAAGCCACGCTGTCTTAAAGCCAGCTTGTGACTGATTGGGTTCACCTCCCAAACAGAAGGTTTGAAGAGCAGGTGGATGGCTTTTTGGGTTTGAAGGCAGAGCTTGTATGCTCTCATTGACATTATTATCCACCAAGACTGGAAAAACTGTCTGGACCAGAGCCTTTAGAACAGTCTCAAACCTTTACTTTTAACTCTAATTACTTGTATATATGTGGATCTGATATGAGGCTTTGTTTATTGCACATATAGGACCTCTTTAAGTTTATCTGTGGATGGCACACAGGGTTTTGAGGAGACTTTGTGAAGCTGAACGTGATGCTCGCCTTTTGACATCAGTGTCCGTGTGTGTGTTCATCTGCAGGCTGGTGAGAGAGGTTACAGGCGTTAACGTGAACATGCGGGTGGGCATCCACAGCGGGCGCGTTCACTGCGGGGTGCTTGGCTTGCGCAAGTGGCAGTTTGATGTGTGGTCTAACGACGTGACCCTTGCCAACCAAATGGAGGCTGGGGGAAAGGCTGGGTAGGTCCTGCTCAAATTACCTCGTTACCGTGCTGGATTAATTTTCCGTAGGATTTATGTTTTAAGACACACTTTATGTTGTGTGTGGGCGTGTGTGTAGTCGTATCCACATCACCAAAGCGACACTGCAGTATCTGAACGGGGACTATGAAGTGGAGCCAGGTTTTGGAGGGGAGAGGAATGCTTACCTGAAGGAACACAACATTGAAACCTTCTTGGTGCTGGGCTGCAGCCAGAAAAGGGTTAGTGCATGGTCAAACACACACACACGCACACGCACATGCTTATCTGCTTGACCTCATCTGAATACCACACTAGTGCTATATTTCACACAAATAATATAATGGGTTGTCACCTGGAATAGAAGACGTTATTTTTCAAAGCACTTACCCTGTTGAGGTTTCTTCACTTCCAGAAAGAAGAGAAAGCCATGATAGCTAAAATGCAGCGTACACGTGCAAATTCTGCAGAGGGAGTGATGCCACGTTGGGTGCCCGACAGGTCTTTCAACAGAAACAAGGAGCCCAAAGCCTACCAGAAGATGGTGAGTTACACAGAGGGAACAGTATGCACTTTTCTACAGTACCTCCTCATCCTCTCAAGTTAAATTATAAATATACTTTCAATAGGTTGTTTAAAAAAATGTGTGCGTATACTGTTGTGGACATTTCATCTGGATAGAGTTGGTATCACAGACTGTATAAAAGAGATGGACATATCTACTGTGAGGTCACCTGTTC